TATAACCTTTGCGTTTTGCCACGCGCCTTATGAGTGTAGATATATAGTTTGTATATTTGTTGATGCGGGTTGCACTGTCGAATCTATATTCAAAATTTCTCTAGCCCCCATAGTGCTAAAAATATAAAAGAAATTGTGAAAAAAACTATATACGGGGATCCGATTTGCACCGCCCCTAATTGGTGTGGGCATATAATTGTAGATAATCTTAAGAGTAACTTAAATTTCAAATTTGCGGTCTCTAATTCTAAAACTTTGCAGGATGTAGTTTTACGCCACCCATCGAATGAGCGTAGATATATCCGCCATATCTTACTGATCTTACGTTTTTAACGCGAGTATGTGCTCCCAGTATTTAGCACTTTAAATAGTAGCGTTTGTGAGATACCAGAAATATTATTTTCTGATTTGTCACTACTCTGCACTACTCTACTGCAAGGTTATCCACAATGGATATATACCGAACTGGAAGTCTTTAGCTTCAATAACGGCAAATCCAAAAACAATCCTAAATAAAAAATTAAATTACATGATGATATAATTATTTTGAGTGTGGCCTACAGTTGCAGTCGGTCAAGCTGTTTGAGATTTTTTAATTCGGATGATTGAGATGCAAAACATTATGCTCAACAGTTTATCGCTCCGTAGACCGACGCCTTTTATTTAAAACTCTTATCAATGGATGGTTTCCACTTGACCACGTCACGAGGTAGACGTCAATACCATATTCATGGTTGAACACAAGCTGAACACAGACAGCCAATTGTTTGGAATTTGAGATCATTTCCGTTGTTCAGTTACATGAGGATGCCAAATTGGATTGATCAATGACAATATTTTGACTAGGAGCTCTAGCAGAGAATCTAGACGTATGTACATAATAATTCCATAATGAATATTCTGATATACATTTATATTTAATAGAAAATATGTGTAATACATTCATACACAAATACATTTATATATATTTATGTATATTATATATAAAATATTCAGTTCATATTAATTGTTACGTACTGCTAGTTGATCAGTAAATAAATAGGTCACATAGTTTGCGAGAAAAACATTTGTAATTTGATTGAACTCAAATAATTACGCATTGGGTTAATAGCTCTTTATTGATTGCCAGATCAATGATAATCAATGTAATGCGTAATAGTGTTGTGTCAGTAGCTACTTAGCTACATTACATATATGTATATATAAATAAATATGTATATATATATATATATATATATATATATATGTGTGTGTATACACAGATGCAACAAACAAGCCGTGTGAATGCGCGAATAACTGGTTCAGAAATTGTGAGCAAGACGAAGGAAAGCAATTTTTTTAATGTCTGCTGTAATATATATCTTTATATGGTAGTAAAGCAGTTATATAATTCCGTTGATACTTTTTTGTGTATTATTATATCATTATTCGTTCACTTAAGATTAAAGCTAATTTTGACAAAGAAACATAATTTAATTGTTCGAATTAGGCTGAGGTCTCAAAAAATTAATATTCTTGATTACGGGCAAATGCCAATGGCAGTGCCAACTATATTAATTTGAATAATATTTTTAATTACAATGCCGGTTTGTCCTTTTGGGAGCTTGATCAACCAAATATGGTTTTAATATTCGATACCTCATTACACATATAAAAGAATTTAATCTGTAAGTTCTCATATAGAATATACCAGTATTTCGATTGCATCGAAAGGGGTTCAGGGGACATCTTAGTTGTGCACTACCGATAAATTACTTTGATTATTTGGATTTGGATTGTGACTAACTCCTCCCCTTTCCCTTCCCCACAAATGAAAAAACAACATATTTCAAATACTAGAAAATTGTGCTTGAGCAAATATAAATTTCAGGATGCAATAATTATGCGCTAATTAAGAAAATTAATATTGAGCAAAAGTTATTCAACCATTAAGTCTCTATAGTAAAGCCTATGCAGTCTGAAGCCCACGCGCAGTTGCTGCGTAAACATCGCACTTATCAGAACGCGTGCTTTTGCATGCGTGCGTATGTGTGTGATCACATGTTGCTTGATATGTACATACATATGTATACAAGAAGCGCAGGCTGATTAGAACACCAACACTATAGCACTATTACTTGCTTAGAATTATTATTTTCATAAATTATTCAATATATTGTTGCTTTCCAAGCAACAAAGACAGAAAATATTTAGTTTTCATACTTATTCACGAAGAAGCATTGCTTCTTTGCAATGTCCGTCTTGCTGTCCGCCCGCCTGTCCGTATGAACGCTAACCATTACGTCGCTATTAAAGCAAAAAACTTAAAGTTTATATATCTCGTGGAAACTCTCGTCCATAAGGGTCTCTATTAGTTAAGGTGCTAGATAAGTGAAATTCGGAACATTTACTCGCGTGGACAACTCAAGATCAAGAAGATATGGCGGATATATCTACGCATATTGAAGGCGGGCAAAATCGGAAAAACCTTTACCTTCCAAAGTTTTTAAGCCGACAGCGTTTGGTGGGGAATGAGTATTCTGCCGTCGGTAGTGCCTGACTGCAACGTTCTTACGAGTTTTTTGTTGTCTGTAGGATTTTAAAATGAACATTTTTATTGAGTTGATTAAATAGCTTAGATAGCACTCATACAAATCTCGATTCAGTGATTCAGAGCTCAACTCATAGCTTAGGCAAATACATCTTAGTTGAAGTTAAATACTAGCTAGCTAGCTTTTAACAATTACCTCAAATCAATTAAAGGTCAAGAGTTTACCCCCTACACCTAGTATGTCTCATTGCGCAGCTGCTGTTGAGGCCGAGCATGAGCCAAGGAAATGACAATGACACGGAAAATATGTGAGAGAATATTGCATATTGATTAACAGCTAGACTGGCAGACAGACAAGTTAAGCTCAGTCGCAACGACACAAGACCAAAAACAATATATCTGATAAAATTGGCAATTTTCCACTGATGAAGGCTTGATTCCATCTGCCTTTAGGCGGCAAGTTAATTGCAACTGCCAAAGGCGAAGCAAACAAGTAAGAAAGCTCTAGTCGGGGTGCCCGACTAGGAGATACCCTGAGCACAGTCCTATTTGCGTTTATTATTATTTTCCGTAGTTTGTATCGAGTATTCAAAAAAAAAAAAAAAACCAAATAAAAATCGACATTGCGAGACCAGGATTCGAACCCGGGCGACGTGCACCAACTCTACCAACACTGCCACTTTATAATTAAAAAAATAAATAAAACAATTAAAATTTCTCATCAACACGAGTTTCAACCCCAGACATTAATCGCTTGCTAGCGCCGCCTCTACCAACGCAGCCACTACAACTCTTGCAGGAAGAGGTGCAAATTTGAAGCTGAGTAGCAGCTGATAATTCAAAAGAATACACGAATTTGAATGTATGTGTGCACACGCATAGGAAATGCGCTGCTGCTGACATGTGCTTTTGTAAACGTTTTGTTTAATAACTTCTGTTCTACTTAATGGATTTTAATTAAATTTTCAGCATATGATCTACATATCCTATTGGCTTGGTTGAGATGCAAACGCCATCATATAATGGCCCTAGTTCCAACTAAACTTAAATTTTAAGAATTTGGGGAAATTTGGAGCCAGTATCCAAAATCCAACAAAAATCAAAATTGCATAAAATATACATAAAACTAAATACAAAATTTGGAGGCTCTAGCATTTCAGACATACGAGATAAAAGTTGTTAACTGCATTTCAATCATGTTTTTATTCGATAACAATGAAATGTGAATAGTTATCGAATATTTGAAACAAGCTTGATATGCGCGTGCTGTACACGGACCTACAAATTCAAGTCTCTAGCTCTTATAGATGCTGAGATCCATGCGTTCACACATACGGACAGACATACGGACAGGGCTCAATCAACTTGTATTGTCGTCCTGATCAAGAATATATATACTTTATGGGATCTGCCTTTTACATACATTTGCACAAAACCATTATACCCTAATTTCCCATTTTCAATGGGATCAGGGTATAAAGAAAATCCGAAACAGTTGTAGCCAAAAGTCATAAATAAAGCGAGATGTCTCACCTGGTTTCTGGCGTTCGTTCCCATTGGTAGCTACGATAGCAACGATGCATTGTTCAACTCAACAAGCGTCTAGTGTTTTTAGTAATTTATAAATTATATTCCCCATTTACAAATGCCAAAAGCCAAATGCCCTGCTTTTCAATTTTGAAAATCTGCAGTCTATCTTATGTCATCAATATTGGCCAGTAGCTTAGGGCTGCTAGTTTCATAATTCGTTATAATATCCTAGTCTTGAAAGAAAAGAAATAAGAATATGTGGTGGAAACTTCAGGTGTTTTTTTGATCCTTGCGATCACTTGGATGAACATAAATCATAAAGACAATTAATGCATTACTGTATGAGTATTATTATCAGATAGATTTCGGTCTTTGATTCCACTTTGCCCTTCACGTATATAAAGAGTATTAATGGCTTAGAAGCAGAGGGCTATAATCCGTTGGCTAGCTACTATTGCTAATGAATAAGATCTATAATTATCCAGTTGTTTACTTTATACCTGGAAACTTACTATACCATAGAACAAAAACTAATGATAATAATACAACAGCTCACAATGAAATGTCTGTAGCGATCATATAGTCTTTAAAACGTGTTGCACCCATTAAATATGGAAGCATTCAGAATTCAAGGTGAACTGCACTGGCCACAAGCCGATTTATGTATATGAATTATCAACGCAATCAAACTAATCGAAGCCGATTTTATACTTGTCTTTGTCTTAGTCGACTTAGTCCCAGTTCTTATTTGAAATTTGTAGATCTACTCAAATGTGAAAGATCTACCCAAGAAAGTCCATTTGCATGTTAGCTAATGTAATATTGAATTTAAAAATTTTCCTATTAAATTAGCTCACATGTAGGTTGACATACAGATTATGTTTATAAGCATTAAGTGAATACTTGAATAGAGTTTCCCTATTTTATTATTTACTTACAGCGAGTTTAACTTAAGAATGTGTCAATGATAAATGATCTGGTCGGTCGAAAAGTTAACAGAAAGTAACTGCCAAAATCCGTAAGAGCAGTTCTTGGACTTGCAAGGGGACAAAATGTCCTTCAGAATGAGGGAGGTTAAGGCGCTGCTGCGCAAGGACGTCATTGTGCGCTGGCGTCAGAAGGGTCTGTCGTTAACGGTGATCGTTTGGCCATTGCTTGCATTCATGCTGATTTATCTAATAAGGCTAAGATATGACTCGGAGCAGATGGATGCATGCCAGTTTCCCACCCGATTGCTGCCCACTAAAAATCAGGTGGTACCCAGCGCATTCTCCTACATTTGCAGCATAGAGAATAAGTGCCTGAGCACCGAGCCGTACGAAGAGTATTCCAAATGGCAGGAAGCACCGTAAGTTAGATACTTAGGGAGTATCTATTCAATTGGTCTTTAATGCAACTTTATCTTACAGCCTGCATTCTGTAATTGATATTGTTAATGTCTTCGTTACTGATGATCGTTTGTACAATGCGCTCATCGAGCTGCCAGAGAAGGCGAATTTCGTAAATGCGATCACAACACTCCTAACCAGCAGCCATCTCGATCTCATTCGAAGTAAGTGAAGTTTCCTTGATATTCTTGCTATAGCAATATAATACATATACTAAAGAGTTATTTTCCAGGTAACATTAGTCAAATAGTTTCTTTGGTTCCCGAAATTGAGCGCCTGATGAACTACAGTTTTGATATCACAAAACTGTTTTCAAGTAAGTTAACACACCGGAAGTAGCTAATTAGTTTTCCATTGTTAACTTTCTTCCTCTATTCTTCTCTCTGTCTCTTTCTTGCATCGGTGTAGATCGTGAGACATTTGTGAAGCTGGGTATTTTACTTTGTGGACATCCGTTTCCCAGCACGGAAAGCATACCTCTTGTCAACGATATACTTTACTCCGACGACCTCAGTGAGGTCAATGACGATGAACTAAAGGCCATGCCAAGTATGTCTATATTTAATATTATGCTACCTTATTCATTTCAAGTCTTTTATTTTTCGTTTCACAGCCAAATATTGCAAGCGTTTGTATTTGGATGTTACTTCAACGAATCAGGGCAAACTCACCTGGAATTTCGTCAAGCCTATTATACAGGGTAAAATTCTATATACGCCACCCAATGCTGACACGGAGAGCATTGTCAATTTCGTAAGTATTTAAGTACAGTAGAGATTTTGGCTTAATGCTCTACTTACAGACCAATGGAACCTTCGAGGAAATTGGTCGACTTAGGAATGTATCGAAAGCAGCCGCTATTATTGTTGACAAGCTGCATACGAATGCCACTTTCGGGCAGGCCTTTGATAATTTGCTGAAACTGGCCCGCTCCCCGCTCGTTCAAAGTTTGGTTGGCAGTGAATTTAATGTGGAGGAGATCGAACGAATCATGAACTATGTGCGCACCAATGAGCTTATCCATCAGATTTTGACTACTATCAGTGATCTTTTAGAGTGCATTTCGGTTGATCGTTTTGAGCCAGTGTCCAGTGTATACAAATTGCGACATCGCGCCTATGAGCTCAATCAGCAGCGTCTCTTTCTAGCTGCCCTCAACTTTGAGGACGTATCGGGTCAACATATAACCTATAGATTGCACATGGACACGGACAATACGCAGCCGACGTTCGAGAACAAAAATCGATTCTGGTTCCCGGGGCCAGCGTCAAGCATGCTGGTGGATCTCAAGTATCATCGTGGTTTTGTTCAGCTCATGCAGATGGTCGATCTGGCAATTATCAAGCATAAACGCCAGGAGCTGGGACCGGGCGAGAACTCTCAATCTGATGAAACCTCACGACCAACGATTAGTTTAAAACGCGTTGATGACGATGAAGATCTCTTTAATAATGAGGATGAGGATAACGATGACAATGCCGATGATTTTGAACATGACGAAAGTTCGAGCAATGAATATTCAACGACAACTCTTTCTGCTCAGCCTGACGACGAAGAAGATACAACCATCGTTGAGCAAAAAGAAATGAGGGAGACTACAACGCTTCATGGTTCTAAGCGAGAAACAGAAACATCAACCGTTAATCCAGACTTTAAATTCCTTAGTAATGACAATTCGGACGACATTAAATTGCCAGACGGTATTCAAGACGCTCTCAATGAAGCCTTGGCAGATGGCAGACTGAATCTGGATTTCCGGGGTGGTCGCGTTAAGCGTCAGGGTCTTTTGGATCTGCTCAGCAGTTTCGGCAATGGAATTGATAATGTGAAAGGCATTAAATATGATGTAGACGAAATGCAATTCTATACCAAACAATTTCCCTATCCCGCATATGTGCGCGATGAGTAAGTGCTTCATAGATTCAATGATTCAATTGACTTATGGCCTAATTCTTGCAGCTTCAAGCGCGGTATTTACTTGGCGCAAGCTGTGCAGGTATGCTTCTGCCTGGGTCTCGTTGTTGCTGTGGCGGTCTGCGTTCGAGAACGGATCTGGATGCGTGAGAGCCGCAATAGTTTGGTAAGTTTAAAGTTATCTCAATATAGCTCTAATTAACTCCGATATTTTGATAGTTAATGCGCTCCATGGGTATGCATGCACACTCAGAGCTGATCGCTTGGATATTAATTAGTTTCGTCGAGCTGTTCGTTATATTTGGGCTGGTCAGCCTTGTTCTCTATATTGGAGGTATTTTGGTCTACACCAATTGGTTCTTCATGATGTTTTACTGCCTGGCTTTTGGCGCTTGCCTAATCTCATTCTGGTGTGTATTTAGTAATACAAATTTCGTGGTTTTCCCCCTTAGTTATGTTTTTATTATGATCTCTTGACAGCTATATGTGTTCGAACTTCTTTATATCTGCCAATATTGGTGCAGTCGCTGCGGCGTTGCTCTTCTTCATCACCCTATGTCCATTTATCATAGTGCTGCTCTTCGATGCGAAATTGAATCTGCTCGAGAGTTTTCTTGTGAATTTGTCTTTTACGACCGCCTTTGCCAAGGGCTGGAGCGAACTGCTGCGCATGGAACTGCAAGAGCAGGGCATGACCGTTGGTCACCTTGTAAAGTTGGGACCCGCGGGTAGCGAGTGCGCGTTGGCCTTCCTTATGTTCATATTCGATCTGATGCTATATGCGGTCATTGGCTATGGCTATCAGCGCTATAAGAAAAGTGAGTGAACAGCCATCTGAGCCTTTGAATTGTTCTAATGTGATTTTATCTCAGCTAACTATAGCTTTGTGCGTGTAACTCGCGCACAGCTTGATGCCAAGCTGGGCGCCTCGCTGACCTGCGTCACGAAAATGTATGGCCACAAGTATGCATTGTCGAATCTCAGCGTTGACTTTGCACGCAATCAGGTCAGCTGCCTATTGGGACGCAATGGAGCCGGTAAGAGCACGCTCATCAAGCTACTTACGGGCCAAACGGTGCAAACAACGGGTCAGGTGGTGCTCGCTGGTCAGCATAATGTGGGCGTTTGCTGGCAGGATAATGTACTCATACCCAAGTTGACGGCACGTGAACATCTGGAGCTATATGCCCAGCTCAAGTTAGATGCTGTTGATAGCGAGTGTGTGAGCGCGAAGCAGGAAGTGCGGCGTACATTAAAGAGCCTGAACTTTGGAAAATATGAAAATTATTATGCTTATCAGCTATCAGGCGGCTATAAGCGGCGTCTCTGTGTAGCCATTGCGTTCATTGCCTCGCCCAGCGTAGTCATCTTGGATGAGCCCTGCAATGGGGTCGATGCCAAGGCGCGCAAGGATATATGGCAGCTAATTGAACAGCTGCGCCAGGGACGTGCTGTACTCTTTGCTACACACTTCCTCGACGAGGCCAAGTACCTTAGTGATGCGCTCTTTATCATGCGCAATGTGAGTTGATAAGAATAATAAAATTAAAATTATTTTTGTTGCTTACCCAATGTCTTATTCACAGGGTCGCATTATTGCCCAGCACAGCCGGGATTCACTTCAGCGCATCTGTACCTCGGATTATAGCATGGAGATGCGTTGCCTTGATGCCAATGCATCCACTACTATTATACAACGAGCACAGCAGCTTCTGAGACAAAGCCATGTGCTGCCTGGTCGTGAGACACAACATTTGATAATTAGTGCTACCTATGCTGAGAATCTGACGCCGGCTGCTGTTCAGTTTCTGGAATTTCTGCAGGCGCAGGAAGCGGCGGGACACATTAGCGATCTGATGCTCAACAGTAGTTCCACTCTGGAGCAAGAGTTCGAACAGTTGAATCGCAAAGATGAATCACTTGTACAGATGATGCCAACCACATCGAGCATTGTCACTGGCGCAACCGATGTGTTGGAGCAGCCGCCTGGCTTCTGGACACATTTCATGCTGCTCCTGGGCAAACGACGGCGTCATCTGATGCGCAACTATCGTCTGCTGCTCTACGTGCTGCTGCTGCCTGCCATATTTGAACTTTGCGCCATGTGGTTTGTCAGCTATCGTCTGGACGACGATTTTGACACTGTTCTGCCATTGAGTCGTACGCTATATCCGCAGAGTGCGCAAGTAATGAGCGGGGAGAAATTTACAGAATTCACGGAAACTGTCTATGGTAATCTAACGTCCAATTGTCAAACGGACTTTGAGTGTGGTGAATTCACTAGCTCTCGGGATGCCTTTAACTGGGTGCTAAACAGTCTGGATAAGTATCGGGGACGTCGCTATGGCGGCTACGGCATCAATGGCACTGGCGCCACCGTCTGGTATAACAACAAGGGCTACCATGCCATGGTGGCCTGGCTGAATGATCTGAACAGCCAACTGCTGCGCAGCTCGGTTAGCAATTCATCGTACGACATACGTATCTTAAATGAGCCTTGGAAGTTGGCGTTTGCCGAGCTGAGTACCAGTTCGGTGCTGCGTCAAGCTGGTGACTCCTGCATGGTCTTTATACTACTGGTCGCATTTAGCTTAGTAGTTGCAGCTGCCTCTGTTTACTTGGTCAATGAGCGAGTTAATGGCGAGAAGCTGCAGCAACGGCTGAGCGGCGTCAGCGCTGCCACTTACTGGCTGGTGGCCATCCTCTGGGACTATCTCATTATGGTGCTGGCTCTGATCATTTGTCTTGCAATTGTGCTGATTTTTAATATGCCCGTTTTTGTCGATCGCCAGCAACTGATGGGCATTGTGGCTCTATCTCTGATGTTTAGGTATGTGCCTTTGCTTATTTCCTTTTCCTTACTTCCGATAATCTCTTTTGTCTTATTCACTAACCGAATTTATTTCTTCTTTTATTTGCTTTACAGCTTTGCGTGTGTGCCCGCCGTGCATGTTGCGGAAAAGATCTTCACTGACTCGAGCATAGCTATTGTTTCCATTTTTTGCGCTAACATTATAATTCCAGTGATTACCATGGGCATTGTGCTAATTCTAGGAGTTGTGGGTGATAGTCCCACCTGGGACACTTGGCGGCACGGTCTAAACAAAGCCTTCCTCATTTTCCCTCAGCATGCATTGGGCGATGGCCTTCTGGAGCTCTGCAAGAACTATATGGTCGCTGTTGTCTTCAAGCGGTACGACATTGACTCTTACAAGCTGCCGCTGGCTAGTGATCTATTGCAGCGTCACTTTATAGCTTTGACTATAGTTGGCATTATCTGTTTGCTGCTGAACTTGCTCATTGAGTGTCATTTGCTGAGCCACCTATGGCAACAGATGGCGAGCCTTTTAGACTGCCAGTATAGACGTGAGCTGCGTAAGCTAGGTCAGCTGAAGCTCGTCAATATACAGAGTATCTTTAAGAGTTGCGTAAGCGCCGACGAGGCACTACGTGTCGAGAATCTCTGGCTTGCCTATCGCCGTGGACGCTATGCCGTCCGTCAGGTTCACTTTGGCGTGCAACGCGGTGAATGCTTTGGACTCCTTGGCAAGAACGGAGCTGGCAAGTCGACCATATTCAAGATACTTACGCGTCAGCTACTTCCAGATGTGGGGCATGTATATTTTGAACATGTAAGTTTCATTCAATACTCATGTAAATTTACTTTTCAAGCCAGGGATCCCAAACTTAGCCAGTTAGTCATCAGTTCAGTTAATCCTTAAAAAACCATTCAATCAAGTACATTCAATCAGAATTTAATCAATCCGTTTTCTAATAAATCAGTCACTTATACAGTAAGTCAGTCTGCGACTTAGCTATCAGAAAGTCTGAATATTATATAATAAGACAATTGGTAAGGAAGCCACTTAAGTATAAACATTCAGTTGAGTTCGTAAGTCAGACATTCAATCAATCAATCATATATTCAATTAATTATTTAATAATTATTATTTAATTTGCAATCAGCCAATCAATCAAACTGTTTATACCATTTTAGCCTGGCGTTTCGTATTGCCCGCAGAGCAATCCTCTAGATCCTTTGTTGACCGTGAAGGAATGCATCCTGCTCTATGGCCAATTGCGAGGCATCAAGCAGCTGGATCTTCTGCTGGAACGCATACTGGATACCTATGAGTTGCGCAACTATCGAGATATCCAGGTAAAGAAGCTTAGTGGTGGCAATCGACGGAAGCTGACAGTGGCCATCAGCTGTTGCGGCTATACACCCACCGTATTAATGGATGAGCCGACGAGCGATATGGATCCGGTGACACGATCCTTTATCTATCGCACCATTGAACAGTTGCTCGTGGCGCGGCGCGCTGTGCTATTGACCTCGCACTCAATATCGGAAATCGAGCATCTGTGCCAGCGTGTCGCGGTGCTGAAGGACGGCCAGCTTGTGGCCAGCAACAGTCCGTCAGAGCTAAAGAGTCAGCACGGTGGCTACTATGCAGTCAGCTGTTTCTGTGCGCCTATTCAACAGGCGCAACTGGCCAAGATCCTGCCTCAACATTTGCCCGGCGCCTGTGAGCTGCTGCATTACGCGCACAGCCTGCGCTTCCTCGTTAAGGTGCGACAGCCCCACAGTTCAGAGGCGACGAGCAGTATCAAGCAGCCGACGCTAGCCGCGCTTTTTGAGGCAGTTCGTGTGATGTCCGGTACCTTGGAGCTGGCGGCGCACTTTGCTATCAGCCGCTGTCGCTTTGAGACAGTCTTTGAGCGCATTCTGGACAATTGCGAATCAGTCTCGAATGGAGGCTCTGATCTGCCCTCGAAGTCGGTGGCAGTAAGCGGCTCCCTGGAAACAGGCTATGTACATTGTGGCTACGAAGAGACGGCGACCTAAACCTGAATAAAAACACTAAATCTATTTTTTTTTTATACATTTTAACTGTAACTATATTAGCTTTTTACGTTTATGTTTTATGTTTATACATCTATAATAGGACAAATTTGTTTTGTGATAAGTTAGGACGGTCCGTTCCAGTGATATTAGGGCGTCTTTAAAATAAGGGGAAGTTAAGAGCTTTAATACCTATCAAATCTTATGTACAAACATTTTTAACCAGCGCCGGCGAGTGCAATTTTAGGGTTACAAACTCCATTTGAGCTTGTTTCTATATATCTTTGTAAAACATAATTTTGTATTCATGTTATAGGATGATGTTCAATATCTTTACTTTTCCTTGTACTTATAACAATTGTAAACTGTAAAATGAATAAACTCACAAATATTTATGTACATTTTCTATGAATTCAAGACATTTTATTTATTTAAACGCAACAGTCGTATATCTTAATTATATGATTACCTTTGATGTGGATGTTGTTTTTATTACAATTCTGGGCTATTTTTGTCTCGGCCAAGTTCCAAGTTACAATTATATTGGGTTCTATGTAACTTTTGATTATTTTTGTGTATTTACATTCTGTTGGGATTTGTGTAATTATACTAGTTATACATTCGTTAATTTCTTGTTTTTGTTTTTTGGATTTGAAATATACTTTATTATTTTGTGTGTAGTAGGTTTCATAAGTGTTTTCTGTAAGGGTATTGTTATGATTGTCTGCTTAGGGGAGAATCTTGTATAGTGGACTTTTAGTTATTTGTTTTGGTATGTCCGAGATAATCAGTATTTCATTGGTGTCTGTCTTAAACCAAGTGGAAGTTTTTATATTTAGAATCTTTTCGAAATTTATATCTAGCATGTTTTGGTGCTTCAGGAGTTTAGGGTTAAAAATTCCTAGTCTAGTTAGTTGCAATCCTATTTCAAGGTTTTCTATGTATTCTATGAGATTTTCTATCAGGTATTCTTTGTGGGCAACGTCTTTAAATGGCTCTGTTTGTTTGAGAAAGTCGTTGTAGGTAGTGTGTATTTTTTAGTTAGGTTTACTGTAAAATAGTGGTATTCATAGTAAACAGAATAGCCAAATAATTAGGAATAATCAAAACTATGACAGACAATAAGACAAAACCCAAATTTTAACAGACAACAACAAAGCCAATAAAAAGTAAAAATTTTAACAGACAACTAAGTTAGAATATTTGACAAAATCAAAATCAAAATCATCAGCAACCACAACCAGAAGCAATGAGTGTAGACAATTTAAATGATGAAAAAATTAATAACAAACCAAATTACGAAAATAAACAGGAAGAATTGTTTACCAACTAGCCTCGGACAAAAGAAAAGTTTCATTAAAAGAACTATTGAGGGGGATACTTTTCTAATTTTAGTAGATACTGGACCTATTATAAGTATTTTAAACACCAAAAATATACATGAAAACCATTTACACTATTAATGAGGATATAAAAAATGTCAGCTAGAAGTACCAAGTGATTTTAAATATGTAGATTGCGCAAGAATAAAATGGGTGCTATGTCCCTGGAAAGAGCATATGATCTTCTATTGGATTTTATCCAGGCAAATTTGGAAAATATTGATTTTAAAAACAAAATAATTAAGCTTTGCAATGGAGTCGAAATTTCGCTCCTTCCCAAATTATCAGATGTTTGTGTAATGTAAGTAGGGGAAATTGATGACTTTAAGCTACAATAGCTCAATGCTGAAGAAGTTCAGATAGTAAAAACTCTTACGAAAAAGTGTGAAAAGTTATATTTTAAAGAAGTTAACTTACATAGAATAGTTCACAATATTAAAACTACAACAAAGCATCCCATAAATTCAAAATTCTATAGAGTTTCTCCAAAATATGAAGAAGCAGTAAGAAAACAAATAATTGCAATGGAAAAAAGTGGAATAATTAATAAAAGTAAAAGCAAATATAGCTCTCTTATATGTGTTATTAAGAAAAACAATTGATAATTCAGGAATTCAAAAATATCGTATCTGTGTAGATTATAGACGACTAAACCAAGCTACCGCTTCATATAAGTATCCAATACCTATTATGGACGCGGTATTAGATACACTTGGTATAACCCATTATTTTACTACTCTTGATTTAGCGAAAGGTTATCATAAAATATTAATGGCATAAGAGGATATTGAAAAAACAGCTTTCACAATGGGATTATACGAATATGTTAGAGTGTCATTCAGGTTAAAAAATGCTCCAGCTACATGATATGGCATATTGAGGGATTATGTAAACAAAATTTGTATATCTTGATGATATTCTAATATTTTCAACAAGACTCGAAGAACACAAGATTACTCTAGAAAAATTTGCAAAGTACTTAGAAATTATAATTTGAAAATACAACCACATAAATGCTCGTTTATGAATAAAAATACCGAATACTTTGAACATATTCTCACAAAAGAAGGGTTCAAACCAAATTCAAGAAAAATAGAAGCATAAAAAGAGTGAAAAACAATTAAAAGAATTTTTAGGAATGACAGGATCTTATTGAAATATGATCAAAGATTATTCCAAAATAGCTTACCCAATGATAAGATATTTACAAAAAGCTGTATCAATAAATATAAATGATCCACAATTTATAGATGCATTTGAAAATCTCATAAGCTCATAAGTTCACATCCAATATTAAAATATAAAGAATTTGACAAACCATTTACAATTACTGCAGATGCCAGTGATTTTGACATAGGTGCAGTTTTATCTCAACAAGGACAACCAATTGCTTATGTTTCAAGAACACTTAATAAACATGAGAAAAATTATAGTACAATTGAGAAAGAATTTTTGTCTAAAAGGCTTAATAGGCAAAGACAATAAAGTAGCAGATTTTTTGAGCAGACAGGAAACATCACAGTTAATAAATACAAAAAATAAAGAAGAATCAAATTTTGATTTAACGAACACACAGCATTCAGAAGATGAAGAGAGCAGACACAGAAAATGAAATTGAAATAAAATTACAAAATAATATAGAGAAAGGAACAGTAGAATTTTTTTCAGAAGTACTAGATTCAGAATATCATAAAATACAATATATGTTAATCAAAATTGTTTCTCTCTGTAAAAATATAAAATTTTCAAATCAACAAAAAGAGCCTACAAAATTTCAACTCAGGAAGAATTACATGAACAAATTTCAATTTACCACTCAAAAGATTCATTACACAGTGGTATAAGTGAAGCATTCAACTTACTAAAAGACAAAATATATTTTCCAAGACTAAGGGACCATATTCTGTTAATAAAAGCAAATTGTAGAAAGTGCAAAGAAATTAAGTATGATAGAAAACCGATAAAACCAAACAATTTACAGAAATACCAGATACAAAAAACCAAATTATGTATTTAGATGTATTTCACACAACACAAATCACAATCACAAAACACAAATCTTTTGTTACAATCATTTATAAACTTAAAAAATTTTTAAGATAATAATAGATAATGAGTTTAGATCAGAAGATATAATACAGTTTTTCAACAATGAAGATATTAAAATGCAGTATACAAAGCCCAACTCTCATACAGGAAGTGCTGATATTGAAAGATTACATTCTACATTAATTTAAATAATAACAGGAATAGATAATAATAAACTATCCATTAGATCTAAAAGTCAATTAGCAATAATAGCTTACGTTATCATTGAATAATAAAATGTACACCAAATTATTCTAAAGATACAGAAATTGCTAATAAATTAAAAATGACTATTGAGAAACGTAAGAAAATGTCTACAAGCAAAATAAATAATACAAGAGAAAAAACCATAGAACAAAGATACGAAGGTCCAATTAAAAATTATAAAAGGGTCAGACATAAGGATGAGCCTTATTTTAGCTATGCAGAGCTAGAAAACATTCATCCAAGTATCATTAAAAGACCGTTAAAGCTGGAAATGAAAAATTCTAACTTTTTTTCTTTCTGTTTTTTATTTCCCAGATGTTAATCATGTTAATCATCATTATAACCAGGTACAATACAGTACAGACAATATTATAAATGGAACCGATATTAGTAAGTTCAGGTTATGCAGCCATATAGATTCAGCAAACCAATAGTAAACGAAACAATAATCAAACTACACATTATTAACATTGACCCACTTCAGGATATTTTAAAACAGATAGAAACAAACGTAAAAACGCCAATATTACAGACAAAGAGGAACTATTAATCCCTAACTAACTATCAGATTAATAAAGGCAAAGATTAAATCCATTACACCTTTTAGCAGATATAAAAGGGGACTTATAAATATAGCTATTTGGACTGATGGACGACCTTGATATAATCGACCAAAATATCCATAACATCATAAACAACATGAACTAACATATTATCATAAATTTACATTTCAACGACACAATACATAGCTTAGCAGAAAAAATTAAGCACGACCTAATAATCTTTAACGAAACAATGAGCAAATGCAGAAATTAAAAAATATTGAATACAATGTAATTTTTATTCTCGAAAATATAGCCTCTGCAAAGAATAATATAAGTTTACCACAAATTATATCAGAAGAAGAAATAAACAAAATTTAAATTAAATCGTATGGGCATTTTGAAATACAAAAATAAATCCATAATAATAGCAATAAAAATTCCATAAATGATATAAGTGTAGATTAACATCTTTACTTATCCCAATGAATAATACAGATTTTAACCAAATTGACCAAGAAAATGTATTAATTATAGAAATTAACAATAAGACACTGGAATATAAACCAAATACAATTTTAAAAGAACTTAAATTAAGTAAAAGTTGTACTCTTATCAATAATAGTAAATTTATATTTAATAATATCACAAGTATTGAAAAAATAGATGATAACAATAATAAAATAAAAATTTTAAACATTTTCCAATGAAAAAACTGTTAAATCAAACTTACAAAAACACTATTAATTTTGATCAATTAACAATAAAATACTTTGAAAATTTAAATGAAATCACATAATTGAAATATGAAAGAACAGTAACAAATGGCAGTATGTTAATGCTTTTAATCATTTTTATATTTCTGTATACTTACGATGCAAAAGGCAAAATATTAATATTAATTTAAAAATAATTCAGGAGAATTCATACTCTAAGAGGGGAGGAGTTACGCCATCAGCATCACTTCCCACAGCGTCTACCGACACCATACCATTAGCTTCATTTCCAATAACTACAGTTGACACTAAAGGCTTACAATCTTCCTTATTGTAGAAAATCCATGAACCATAGGTGTCATAAGCATAGCGGACGCTTATTGCAACCCAATTAACTCAAAGAGAATATCCAATATTGTGAACATAAATGATGGTCGCAGCCCAGCTG